AATTTTTGGCAAACTGGTCTAGCAACTGGTCCTCGTGAGAACAGGGTGAGTGACTAAACTTAGCGGGTCTCGACCAGATGTGCCCTTCAACACGTGCTGCCGGCATACCGGAAAGTACTTTCTCAATTAAGGCTCAAAAGATGAAGGACGATCGTTCAAGATCGAGATGGACTGTACGCGAAGAGGGATGCAGACTATGCAGAGCAGTCAAATTCGGGAAACAGTAGCGGTTTATTTAACGCACTAGTAAAACGAACATATGCACTATCTCGCCAGACGCCCGGATATCACTGAGCAAAGTTGTGTTTTCAAGAGCAATGGGCACAAACTTTATATTTATTGATCGCAAATCGATGAACTCCCGTGAAGGTTTGGTTGATAACCTCTGGGCCACATTGAATTTTGCCATCTGGCAAACGGCGTTTGCTTAACTTGGTGTGCTCTTACGCCACCAGAAAAGCTCAACAGCAGAGTGTAAAGAACAAGATAAGGATATACAGCTGTTCAACCCATTCAAAAACCCCCGGACTAAGAAAAGAAAGAATGTACACAGATCGAAACTTTTGTGATGGTTTGTGGGCTGAAATAGATCCCAACAGGAGAGGTTGCAAATGCACGCTACTGTAGGAGGTTCTTTCTTCCCATTCGCAGTGTGTTGACGACATTGCAGCTATATGAGCGTGTTCCGAACAGAACAGCAAGACAAATCACCGTAACCTGATGAGAAAATCTCTAGCAAGGACAGAATATTTCACTCAACTGTGTCCGGAAGCAACGCAACAAGTCCTATTCGTTCATCGAGTCCCACCCGACCGCCCCAGTCGGAGTCGAAATCAGCATCACAAACAAAACATCATAAAACAAGTTACCCCACAATTTTTCGCTTTCAGACTAAAATTCCATATAGCAAATCCGTCCTAATATTCAAATATCCCCATGATTGCATCTTTCCTAATAGTCAAGCGAAGGACGAAGTGAGGACCCGCATCAATTACGACAGATTGGCGTTCTACCAATTCTAAAATGTCCTGTAGCGTACAGCTGAGATGGGCCTGAAGACCGAAGTCCGGAAATGATCAAACTGCCATTTGCCCCATTCTCTTTAATGGATGCGAGATCTGACCATTGCGTTGTGCGGATATCAAGACTTCTGACCAAAGGTGTTCGAGGAACATTCTGAGTGTTTCCAAAGAGATATTACGATAACGGTGTCTAAGAAGTTTACAGCTAACCATACCACCCCGGCAGTACCAAATCAAAAATCAAATCTTTCAGACGTACCAGCCTTTCGGTGCCTAGCTATCATGTCAGCAAAAGAAAGCACGAGGGCTGGGATACTGCAGGGTTAGCCACGCCTATGCGGGAGCAATCGAGGTGCTGAAGTTGGGTTCGAACCACAGATCTTCCGATCCGTAAGCAGACACCTTAATCGCTTAGTCCAGCCCACCGTTAACATCACCTAAAATGATTCATTTGTAGCTATTGCGAGAAGATGAGCAATGTCATAAACTCAAGTCTTCGCCGAGGTCGGCACTGACGCCATAGAGGTCAGCTGGAAACATGGCTCATTACTGTCAACGTCCTGACCTACAAGGTGCATAAAATATCAGTCACTGGTAACAGGAATGAGTTGCAATCTGTATGGTTCCTGCTTCTGACCGTCAAGTATGGACAACGACGATTGGGATGTCCTTTGAGTTGACTCCTCGTCTTGTAAAAGTCAACCGACTTAAAACATTCCAGTGAATCGAGCAAGTCTTAGCCGTGAAATACATTGAACCTAGCCAGTGCCCAAAATGAGTTAATTTTGTTCTAAATCAAAGCGTTCTTTCGCACAAGAAAGCGTTAAATCAGAAACATTGTTGCTCGGCAACTGAATAGATCGCCCCTTAAAGCTGTGGTTAGGCGTGAGCAATTCTGGAAGGCATACAGCAGCGGTCGACCTAAAGAATAACGACAAGTTGTTATCCTCAGCCGAATATGAAATTATGCATTAGTAGATTAAGTACGTGTGTAACTTGTTCAAACGTGTTTTATATGAACGAGCAAAATGATAGAAAACACAGATGAATTTCGTGGCTCAATACTCTTTAGATGTGGTGACTGAAAACCCGTATCTGCATGATGAGTGGTGTTGAACCTAACTGAGAACCGTTGAAGGTGAGGTGCCTAAACGTGGTCAATATTCATACCTTAACTGGTTTAGCTAGAGAGGATTGCTTGTTGCTTGTTGCAAACCTGGCGAGCAATCCCATATGAACAGTGCAGTCAAGTAGAAAATGCGTGAAAATTCATTCGAACCAGCACTTCTCAAACACCCTGAAGAGACACAAAAAGATCGCAGTTAACGGAGGCTTGTTGTTATGTGCACTCAAATAAATGGAGAATACACAGTAAAAACCACTCAGGTAGCCACCAAGATTGTATGTAGTTTGTGATGTCATTCCGCCATCCAGGTAATTGCTCCATGGCGGCGTCATTCAGCCATTCGGGACTACGCGGTGAACAATACCCTGGGCAAACAACAAGTGAGTATTATGGTGGTGAAGTATTACATAGCCATTGTCTGTTACAAGACCTGTCGTTCATATCGAACTACTAAAAGATCGCCCGCCCCAGCCAGGTTATCGAGACTCCCAACAACAACAAGGAAATCAACTCCACTTAATCAATGATACCAGTAGTTTGTTTGCCACTTCAAGACCCTAGGTGGAGATGGTGGATTCACGCATGTCAGACCGGGATTTTTTATGCCAATAAATATGAGTAACCAGCTTTCTCAAGATACCCACCGTCGCAGTCTTGTGAGGTCGATTTTTGAGGTCAAGTTATCATTCCACTCTTATTCGAATTCCTAACCGGGTATTTCATTAACCGAAAATCACAAATCGTTATTGACATGCATTTATTAAATAACTATCTCTTCCCACTGCACCTTCACTTATTCCGCTTTACCTGCACTTAATACACCGTCTCACTGTTTTGTCGGTGCTACAGCCACCGAAAATCGATCCTTCCGGAGATTTTCGAAAAGCACTGATTATAATAACCTCCACCCTTCTTGTTCATCCATTTCTGACCACAACGGTTCTCCTCACGCGCTTTTACGGGAGATTAGCGATTGAGTTGCCAGTCTCCATGCGCCATATGCCACCAACTGTCCCCCAACCTCGGACCAGTCTATCCAGCAGCATCAAGGTATGAGCCAGTACCAAATATCTCAAATAGAAGTGCCTTCAGGTGTCACCATTAGCAAACATCTATAAGCCTCCTCATCCCAATGCTACCTCAGTATCTTCGTACGTGTACTCACGAACAAAGTCTAATCGCATCTCGTCCCTCCGGTCGGTTCTTCATTTTTAACTTTCTCATCAGCTTGGAAAAGTTCCCTGTGCACATTGTTCCCAAGCTTAGTTTTTTATCATCACCTCAAGATCTGGGTTCGACCTAGATTGAGAAATTCCCAAAAGGTCTGTGAAAGGACTATCTTATTAATGATAACTGAAATGGATCTGACTGTTACCGATGAATTAATTAGGAAGCCCAAATTGGTGTGCGTTGATACCTCAAAGAACTTTTACTTAATAGGGCACGAAAATGTACGGACTGTGCTGACGATCTAGGCCAATCTATGGACGATACGCCGGGCCCACAGGATCAGCGCAGGTACTCCCAAGATTACGCTTTCCCGTAAAAATTTCCCGTGTGTATGACTGGAATTCCTCTAGTTATGGCTCCACACAAACTTTTAGGACACGAACTTCTAACCTGCAGTCTCAAGGGTATGTCCAATATCAAATTTTACGAACGTTCACGTTTGACGTTTTTCAGATCCTCTCCCCCACACCGTTCTAACGTCAACCTTTCACTCATTAAGAACTCTAAGCAACCCCTTGGATCATCTATTTGTTATTTTTTCGGTCCATCGATTTCAAGCGGTGAAATTAATCTGTAGTGTCTGTAATCCGTTGTCACATTTACCATTCTTCCTGAACTTGAACCACACTTTGTAACTGTCGTTCACATTGTATTAGGACGTTTGTTTCAATGTTACGAGTACACAATTATCCGGTGCGACCTGCTGACTTCTTGCTCAGCGAGTGTATTTACGCTCCGTTGAACTGTTTGTTGACTGCTGAAGAGCAGATCTCTGTGTTTATGTCGACTGTTGAACGTCACAATAAATCCCTGTGACATTTTTTAGCCGCGAATAATTTTCCTACCGTGGAATATATCACGCACGCGGAACCATCTGTGGGAAATTCCGACAAGTGAATGTTTCCTCTCACAGCCAGTTACTGCATTTAGATCGGTGTAGTGGACTGTTGGATATACACATTCGTGAGTCCCCATTTGACTACTCATTCCTTTCTTATTGTAATTTTGTGATTTTGTATTGGTTACTTTTACTTGTTAACTTATCTGAACACGCTGATAAGGTCCTAGTCCGCTACAAATCATAACATACATTCCTCCAGGACACTCGATTTCCTATTTCCCTCCTTTAAAATTCCTCGTGGGTTCGGCTCACCCAATTCCTGGATCCCATTGACTACTGCGGCGTCTGAGAGGACGTGAGACTTAGTTGTGCATTGATTCAAGAAGGTTTGGACGATACATATTCCACAATGGACCCCAATGACACATGCTGCAAATGAGAATTTTCAAGAAGAGGGCGCACACTTCTAGTGGAATTTCTCATTCTGGGTAGTTGGTGTGCGGAATAACCTTCCTCCGGCGGTTGTTTACGCCTCATCTAGTACCCAGTTCAACATATTATTGGATGTTCTGTTAAGCCCATAAACATGACGCCCAGTGCTGAAAACTTAAAGGTGCAACATCTGTTTTAGCTTGTGCTTTTCAAGCGAACGTATGACACTGGACTACAAAAACAAATTCGACGAGCAAACCACGAAAATGCCCGAACTACGTGAAAAAATGTTGCGTTGTGCGTAAAGAGTACTGCGACATGCCACCCCATCAGGAAACGCGAAACCTACCTCATTCCAGCAACTCAACTTATTCCCGGAGAGATCAAGTTCAGCTACATGCCCAGCAGCACGGAAAAGTTCATCCTCACAGCCCACCTTCGCTATTTGCTGACAATCCATAGAAAGCGTCCGTGCCGGGAACAAAAGGTTGGCGCCGATACGGTTAGGACTCTTTTGTACATAGTTCTCGAAAATATTGCATTCGGTGAGCTTTTCGTACTTTTTACGCAGTGCGTCAACAAATGTTGTCATCACACCAACAACTTAACGACAGGTATCGAAACGCCGCGACCTATGTCCTCACATGAGCCATTGTTGATTGGTCCAATAAAACGGACTACTCAAGGCCAACACCAAAATCTCTAACGGCTGGCCGTGAACGAGTAGATGAGCATGCTGATATCATTTCTGTAAGCCCGAAATTTTTATCGTGCCAATAATGAGGCCCTGGCGGTGCCGTACCACGAACTCGGTGTTTTCTTTTCTCGCAACCCGAGTTCAGTTCATTTCAGGCAAGTAGTAGCAACTAGTAGCAAACAACTAGTAGCGAGACCAGGGCATTGTTGATACATAAGAAATAGTTTAATTAGTGTGCTATGAAAATCGTTGCCAGCAGGATGGCGCACCAGTTGTCGTGCGGTAGTTTGACCCCCAATTGTTATATGGATACTGAAAGACGCTGGACCACGGGATGGCAGCGTACTTGCGGGCCACTGACTTTGCAAATCCACTGAGTGAGCCACTTGTGCATAACCAGAGGCGGCTGAATTTCACAACAGTACAAAAGGCCTTGAGACTAACGCACGCGGCCGGCTTCTGGAGCCTGTTCATCAAACGTGGGAGCCTGTTATCAAACGGGCCAAAAGGGCCAGTACCGACACACTCAGTGGCTGGTGCTAGGGTAGGAAATGCATATCACCTATGATCATCACCGTAGAGGGTGATTTGGTCGCTCGTAATGCCTTATCTAAAGCAGTAACTAACATGCCGCCTGTCGTGGCAAAATACCTTGGAGGCGGATCTGGAGTCCTACTGAAGTTGGAGATTGCACGTTGATTTATTATGCTATACTCAGTGCGCTTGTCTGCCCAAGTAATACAGTTGGCCAGTTTCCAACAAATCAGTGTTACCTATCATGGTTGATCCTTTCATAAAGTGATCTGGTGCAGTAGCTTACGGAACCTTATCAACCGAACCCCCCGGACCGGCCATAGAATCGAATCCGTTGATTAGCCGATCAGTGGGGGTCTCCGCAAAGACTCAGCCCGGCAAAGCTCTGTATTCCGCGGTCTTTGACTACAAAATGCTCCTTTGCTTGGGAACTGTTACTTCAAAGACGGGTGGCGTATTCGAGTGCACCAACGGCACAAACTGCCCCTGGACTGCCGGGTGTTATTCTGATCAAATGACTGGTGGCTTAAATTTTATGCCTAAATGCATGTACGAACAAAATAATTGGGACTGAACAAAGTACATGGGCGTATATGTCCATTGGAAAGTCTCTATTGATGTTCGCTTCTAAAGTACGGTGTTGTGGTACCTGATATGGGACTTTGAGTGACACGTAGGTTTCATTATCCCGAACGTCAAAAGGAAGAATCGGTTACACACAGCAAAGTCCCAAACACAAGAAATTTCAGGTTTCTCCGTTCGCAACATCAACCCTTGCGAAAGTCCGTTGGCGACCGGGATAACGCAGTAACGATATCTACACATCGAAAAACAGTGAGCAGAATGTTGGCCCTGTATTATGGGCTGCGATCGACGCTTCCGTGGACAGCCCCGTGAATCTGATTGGCGGTGCGAGCCCGCGGAATTCGAACAAGTCAGGGCAGCCTCAGCAAATGGGGCATGACCATGCATGGGTCATGTCAACAGCGCACATTCGCACACATACACACTAGCATATCAATTTTGGTAGGGTCGGCCTTTGCGGCAAGGTGAGTGGCAGGTACATTTGAGCAAAGTGAGGGTCAAAAGTACATGGACCGAGTGGGAATTATCACGAGGTCAAGTGGGATTTAATGTTTGGAAACGTACATACTTGTGAAACAACGCAGGATGCAGCTGCTTCCTGGTTGTATTTCTGGTGTTGCGTTTTGATAACCATGACGTCATTAAATGGCTCATGGAATCGTCAAGTGGTAGTCAATTATGAAGGCCGCTGCAGAAGTCGACCCTTCGGGGTTCTGAATGGCACGCACCCCGGCACTGGATGAAGGTTAGGCCAAAGTCAATTCGACCCTACATCCGGAGTTTCTATGACATGGTCTGCCGCCATTGGACGCGTTCGATAACTTGACCTTCCTATAAAACCAACGTGATAAGCCGTCCGATGACGCGGTGCAAACGCCGCATTGAACATTTGGAGGGATTTTATGTTTTCAGTGCAAAATCTCGCATCTTAAAGCCAGTTATAAAGGAGTCGGACAACCTTTCGATGGATACCAAACTGCTAACGGCAATTTTGAAAGTTACGAAGTGAAATCATTGTCTGGAGACAAACTGGACGCTCTCGTCAATATACGTGACTTTCAGTACCCCAGGTTTGCACAGTTATGGATATACCTGCTTTACTGCATTCATCGAAATCTATTCCCGGCCCTTAGCACCGTATCAACGTATGACCAAGCCGGCGGCTAGACGCACACCCACAATTTCTCGGAAACCGTGGTTCGTAGGAGGAAAACTTTAACACAAAGTTTTAACATTTGATGGTAATTTTTCGGGTGCATGGGATCATCCCAAACGGCCGCAGTTTTGTTGAATGTTGTTTAAACCTACTCAATCCCCACGATATTCAAGGCCGCGATATCCATATTTTAGTGGCCGATGTGGCTGAGCACGTAAATGAAGAGGGTGATTTTGTGGAGAATTTAGCCCGTCAAAGTTTTTTCTCATTCAATGCATTTCAAGTCGCTTTGAAAGAGTACCAGGCGAAACATTTCGTTGTTTTCGTCCGCATTAACTCCAAAAGGAGCAGAAATTCGCCACTTTTGTATGAAAAACCTAACGTTGCAGCAGACATCCCTGCAGACGGAGCCGAAGCCGTGGAATTCGTCGCACTTGGTCAGTTCATGGTTGATTGTGTGTACGCGGTAGCAAGCGTCGTACTGATCGTCCGGCAAGGTCCTGGTGGAAACGGAGGGTGGCAGATATACATGACCGTCACTGACCATCGGATTATGTTACTGTGCATAGGTGCAGTCTCATTATCAGCGTTGCACATAAACGCGGGTCTAGCGGTTACAACAAGTATTCGAGATGAGTGGAAACTAGTAGAGATACGAGTAACAAGGGGCTGTCCTTGCTCATTGGATTGGGCTGCCGCGCATATGTGGGGAACCTTGCTTAGCGTCACACATAGACACGGATCCGGCAGCTACAATAGGTAGTCGAGATGAGCGACAACGGCTACCGTCATCGTGGGGACCGCTTTATGGTTGGTGGTAACCACNACAAACGCCTGCGACTGATCCCATAGGGTGGCATTTACATTAAATACTCTTAAGATGTTATTGTATTCTTCAGGAACGTCAAAGAACGCCAAAATATACTAAAGTGCGATTTCGTGTTTTATGTCGCGTAAACCGGCAAAAAATGCAAATCGGCGATGATCAATGACCTTGACATTTCGCTCACTTAGACAAAATGCTACGTGCAACATGTCACGGGAAGGTGCAAATTTATTCGACTAACTCCGCATTAGAATAGCAACTTCGAAACCCCTATAGTTTCGGCGAACTCAATTTGGGTGTGTCAATAGCCTGCTGCTATGACCAACGTGCTGCATGTCACAACTTTGATCTGGCCAGGAACTCAAGCAATTCCGACATCTGCGGAGTTCTTCAGGCATCCAAGCATTTCAGTTCAACAAGTTCTGGCACACTTTACACCACCGTCAAGTTCTGGCATCAGACAAACCCGCCAACTCTAACGCATGGGGAAAACGTAGTCACAGGTATTACGCGCCTGGCATGTTATGGGGCTGTGTATCTTGAACCAACATTGACGCAGAAAATTCTGGACCCTGAGCCACCAAGTCATCTACATCCAGTCACAATCGCTCAATGTCACCCGCGGAGCCTCGCAGCCACAAAGACGAGTCCCGGATGCTCCAAGCTGAGAACAGATAAGTACTACTTAAAGTCGTCTGGAAACTTTCCAGACATACTCTATGTTGCCAAAATGCTCTTCAATAATCTCTGGTCCGGACACGACTTCGATGATCTCCATCATGTCAGTAAAGCTTGTTGCACGCTTGGATGACCTTCAGGATAACAGTTATTCAGGGTGCTACTGGTTCCTGTGATGTCAAGTTCCACCTTCTCCGTGGGCGCGCTCTCTTCCACGAGGGAAGTGTGCATTATTCCGCGTTCCGCCACATCCGTTGAACTGAATCTATTTGGCCTTGACTGGGTTGGCCGAGTAGGCCTGGCAAATGTTCCCCTTCGACAGACAGCTGCCGAAGGTGCTTCCGGAAGGCATTACAGACAGGCCTTGGTCAGTGGTTTATACATCAAGCCTTCAACTGACAGCCAGCTCAATATTTCATCGTAGGTAAACAGCTGTATAATTTCCCGTTGCAGATCGTCGCCAGTCCCCAGCTTGTTGAGGCGCAAGCCATCACCCCTCCTGCCCCTCATTCCGCGGGGGCGCTACTGATCACTGTGATAAAAAAAATCTGGTCGAATTCTTTCTGATTTATTACTCTGCTTTGGCCCAGTTATTGGGCATCACAACTCCGTGCATCCGCCAGCCGATTATCTGCTCCCCAGTATAGAATGTGGCAGCTGTTTCGCTAAGCCCGAGGGAGCAAACTTGAGAAAATGCCATGGGATCACGCTTCATGCCAACCACCAGCACTTTATCTTACACCCTCTTGCCATCTGTCGCCGAGGCAAAGCCTAAGATCCAAGGGCAGTTAAAGAACACGATTCTTGGTAAAATTCTAGGTCAAAAACTTGCCCATATAATGCGCTGGTTCTTCCCCAGTCTGCTGATAAGCTGCTCACACTAATTAATTCAGTGCGTCAACATGTTTGAAAAATGACTGACAGCCACGGTAGACTTGTTATTCCTCGTTGATGGTCGCCAGGTTTCTCGTGTTCGTTTCCAAAGCCTCCATTAGACACTTGGACAAGGTGAGCTTGTAAGTCCTTCAAATGGTTCCGTCTCCAAGGCTGTTTCCACAAGTTCTTCCGATGGTCTTGTCTGCCACTTTTACCATTTTTGCCATACTTGCACAGGGTTTGGTTACGGCTAAATTGGTCTTCTGAGGAAACCGTT